GAGAAAAAAAAAATCTCGAAATTGTGTGTAACAAAGCTCAATTTCCATTTGCTTTGCTCACAGGGCCTCATCACTATCCCCATCGTTTTCTTGAACTTCAATTCCATTCGCGTTGCTTCTCAATCTTACCTTCTCTTCTATTTTCCTAGGTTTTCATCGTTTTCTTTCTTTTCAAGATTCATTCCAGAGCTTCCGTGCGGTCGTATTTGTATCATGCCGGTGCATCTCACGCCGAATGCAATCTCTGCAATTGTCGCAGGCGACGTTAATTCCAAGCCTCTGGTGCAGGTCCTAGATATCAAGCTCATCGGTAAAACGCAGGAGAGGTATAGCCTTTTTATCTCCGATGCCGTTTCTGCTGAGCATGCTATGCTCGCAACACAGCTTAATGATATTGTTAAGGCTGGACGAATCAAGAAAGGATCCGTTATCCAGTTGATCGATTATGTTTGCAGTCCCGTCCAGGGCCGCAAGTCAGTTCTCTCCTCCTACTTCATTAATTATTTTTCGTTAAAGATTATTATAATTACGTTTGGAAAAAAAACAGCCGTATGTGGCGTTATTGTTAATTGTGATTTGCTTAATTGCTTTCTCCGAATCCTGATGTGAGTTCGGTAAAGTAGATGCGCATTTGAAGCTTTGAGCTAAACTATTTAGAGTTGCGTAGCGAAACGCAGAAATAGATTTTCTGCTTTGGTTTGGAACGACTCTTGTAAAAAAGTTAAACAAACAGATTGTATGCTTGTTTGAAATGTTAGGTGCATGTATGAATTACTGCCTAAAGTTGATACAATTTATTATACTTTAATTGTCAATTCGTTGTCCATTTGAATTGTTAGGCTTGTACATAGGTGGTTTAGTGCCGCTAGATTATCATTCTCTCCTTTTTTTCTTGTTAAAATCTGTGTATATGAACAGGGAAAATGGTGTCAGTTTATATGCTTGTTTGAATGTTAGGTTCATGCATGAAATTGAATTACTATCTAAGGCTGATACTGTTCATTAAATTTTAATCATCGATTGATTGTCCATTTGAATTGTTAGGTCTGTACATTAGTGGTTTAGTGTCGACATTTTGCTGTTGTCTCCCTCTGTTCTTGTTAAAATCTGTGTGTATATGAAATAAATAATGGAAAAAAAAGGTTGTAATGTCAGTTTATTTGCTTGTCTGAAATGTCAGGTGCATGCGCATGAAATACTATCTAACGTTCACATTAGTTTCTAGAGACTACCGTTCTCTTCTCTCTCTCTCTCTCTCTTTTTTATGTTAAAGTGTATATGATCACATCATGGGAAAAAGAGGTCCTATTGTCAGTTTATATGCTTGTTTGAAATGTTTGGTGCATGCATGAATTACTGTCTAAGATTGATACAGTTTGTTAAATTTTCATTAATTTACTGTCCATTTGAATTGTTAGATCTGTAGACAACTGGTTTAGTGTAGATAGATTCTTGTTCTCCTTCTATTCTTGCTAAAAGTTGCATGTATGAACACACCATGGGAGAAAAGGTTTTATTGTCAGTTTATATACTTGTTTGAAATGTTAGGTGCTTGCATGAATTACTGTCTAAGGTTGGTACAGTTTATTAAATTTGAATCATTGATTGATTGTCTATTTGAATTGTTAGGTCTGTACACAAGTGTTATGGTGCTGATAGATTACTGTTCTTTCCTTTTGTTCTTTCTAAAATTTGTGTATATGAACACATCATGCTGTCAGTTTATATGCTTGTTTGAAATGTTACTGATAGCTCGGAACATCTTCATAAATTTCTATAGAATAAAAAGGGTATAAGAGGGATATAGAGAGGAGTAAGCGTGAAAGGATTTTTTTTGTTATTGTTGGAGGCCCATGTAGGTAGTAGTGGAACCTCCGCCCAAATAGTTGGTACTTGGTAGGAAGGTACATATTTGTCAGCAGGTGTTGTTAGGAAGGTATCTTTGGGAATTATTTGATTGGTTTAGGTTTAGGAAAGACGGGATCTCTCAAATTCTCGTTAGGCTTATTTCTTCTACTTCTTTGATTAATAAATTGAGTTTTATTAGTTAGGTGCATGCATGATTTACCATTTAAGGTTGAAACAGTTTATTAAGTCTTAATACATTGATTGATTGTCCATTTGAATTGTTAGGTCTGTACACAAGTGGTTTAGTGCCGTTAGATTGCTGTTCTCTCCTTTTATTATTGTTACAATCTGTTTATATGAACACATCATTGGAAAATGGTCCGATTGTCAGTTTATATGCTTGTTTGAAATATGAGGTGCATGCATGAATTACTGTCTAAGGTTGATACAGTTTGTTAAATTTTAGTGATTGATTAATTATCCATTTGAATTGTTAGGTACGTACACAAGTGGTTTAGTGTCGGATCTCACCTATTTTTGTTAAAATCTATTGTATATGTACGCATGATGGCAAAAAAGGCCCTAGCCACCCTACAGATATTGTTGCTTTATGGGATATTTCCTCGTAATCATTTTAATGTTAGTATCTTCCCATTACTTGCAGCTCGTAATCATTTTAATGTTAGTATCTTCCCATTATATGCAGACTGTAGTTTTGTAAACTAGATAACACTATAAATTCTTCACCATAGGATTCATGTTAAAGTTGAGAAGGAAATAATTACCCTTAGAGTTAAATGTGTACTTCTGACTTCAATTGTTAAAAGCAGAGCCCAATACTGATTTTTCTACCGTCCATATATGCAGGATTATTGTTGTGATTTGCCTGGAAACTATTATATTGGACTGTGAGATAATTGGGAATCCAAAATCATCGGCTCAGTCAGATTTTTCTGCGCAAAAGGCAACGCCATCTAGAAATTTAGAGCAATCTGCCAAGGTTGGTAATGGCCATGTGAGTGACAAAAATCCAGTTCATAATGTGCAGAGCTTCCAAGCTACAGTTCAACCTCCATATCAGCCACCTCCAAACTATAAAAACCACGGTGCAATCATTAAGAATGAGGCACCAGCACGTATAATCCCTATAGCTGCATTGAATCCTTATCAGGGACGATGGGCTATAAAGGCAAGAGTTACTGCAAAGGGTGATCTCCGTCGCTACAATAATGCCCGAGGAGATGGAAAAGTTTTCTCTTTTGACCTCCTTGATTCTGATGGAGGAGAGATACGTGTGACCTGCTTCAACGCGGTTGTTGATCGCTTCTACGAGGTCATAGAAGTTGGTAAAGTATACTTGATTTCTAAGGGTAGCCTAAAACCTGCTCAGAAGAACTTCAATCACCTAAAGAATGAATGGGAGGTTTTCTTGGAGGCATCTTCCAGTGTGGAACTTTGCCCAGATGAAGATGATACCATACCAAGACAGCAGTTTTCTTTCAGACCTATCAGTGAAATTGAGAATGCTGAAACCAATTCTATTCTGGATATTATTGGTATTGTAACATCTATCAACCCATCAATTCCTGTGTTGAGAAAAAATGGTATGGAAACTCAAAGAAGAGTTCTGAATTTGAAGGATGCATCTGGCAGGAGTGTTGAGCTGACGCTTTGGGGGGATTTTTGCAACAGAGAAGGTCAAAAACTGCAAGAAATAATTAACTCGGGGCTCTCTCCAATTTTGGCTGTGAAATCTGGGAAGGTAAGTGATTTCACCGGGAAGTCCATTGGGACAATTTCTTCCACTCAGCTTTTCATAGATCCAGATCTTTGCGAGTCTCGCATCTTGAGGGATTGGTACGATGGTGGCGGGAAGAACACTACTTCTGTGTCTATTTCTAAAGAAATAATGCCAGGAGCAGCCAAGAATGAGATTCGGAAGACTGTGTCCCAGATTAAAGATGAAGGTCTTGGGAGATCTGATAAGCCAGATTGGATTACCGTGAAAGCAACAATATCGTTCATCAAAACAGATTCCTTCTGCTACACAGCATGTCCACTAATGATTGGAGATCGACAGTGCAACAAGAAGGTGAACAGATCAGGAAACTCAAAGTGGCTATGTGACAGGTGCAATCAAGAATTTGAGGATTGCGATTACAGATATCTTCTCCAAGCCCAAATCCAAGACCATACTGGATTGACATGGGTGACAGCCTTCCAGGAATCTGGTGAAGAGATTCTGGGTGTCCCAGCCAAGGAGTTGTACGTGTTGAAGTATGAAGAGCAGGATGATGTCAAGTTTGGTGCAATAATCAGGAGTAAAATTTTCGACCAATTTCTGTTCAGGCTCAAAATTAAAGAGGAGATGTATGGGGATGAACAGAGGGTGAAAAATACTGTAGTCAAGGCAGATGGGGTAAACTATTATTTGGAAAGCAAATATATGTTGAATTTGCTTCCAGACTTTTCACGGTAACAAATTATCTCTGGCTGACTAGGCGATATCATTCTTTCCAGGATTATTTTTCACTCTTGGAGGGCGAATAGAAATATTTGTTTTTAGAAATTCTTAGAACAAAATGTATTCAGGTTGCACTTGTAAATTACAATAGGTTGAGTGCTCAAGATTTGGAATTCGAGTATCGATCATTTGAATTAGATAGTGTACAAAATTTGTTCCTTCTGGTCAAATAATGGTTAGACTACATACTGTTGTCGAGTGATCGCATATTGCTCTCAGTATGCCTTTCTAGGTTGAATGCCGTGGAAGACTTTGGGCGCATCAATCAAGAACACAAAGCTGAAGCGATACAGATTTATGGGAAAGCCAAATGACTTTTGAGAAAATTGAAACTTTTATATTCAATATATTATTATAGTTTCTGGTGAATTTACAGCAGGAGCCGCATATTTCACACAAAATGCAGAAACAAGCACTAGAGACAATGGAACATCAGGGGACGGCGTTGCGAAGAGGAAAATGATAACATAACTGGTCAGATTCAGGTCCGCTTGACGGGATCGAAATTGGCGACGCCGAAAACTGCACCGATGATGGCAGTGACCACTACTCCACCGGCGGCAATGCTGAGCAAGAAGTTCTGGAGAGAAGGAGTGACGCCAGGCCCAGCAGCTTCAGCCACCTCAGGAATAAGCAGGGAGGCCGTGAGCGCAGTGACAGCGAGTCCAGCAACTGCCTTGTCCTTCAAGGAAGCCCGCACTTGGAACTTGGCGGCGGAGTTCGATGCAGGCGCAGCAGTTGGAGTTGGAGTTGGAGTTGGGTTGCTGGAACTGGAAGGCCTCAGAGGCAACGCCCTTGCCCTGCCAAAGCGTTGGGAGCTCCTCGCGCTCGCCTTAGTAATCGGCATCGCCACCGAGACTGCGGAAGTGGAAGCCATTGGGGTTCTGATCTGTTGCCTTCTCTTTCAAACTTGGTTGAGTTGAAGCTTACCAATCTCTATGAGAGAGATTAGATTATTGCCTCTTCCTAACTACTGACTTTGATTTTAGGAGAGAGCGCAGAGGTGGTGGAATGGAAGCTTCAACGAGTGAGCGGTCCAAATTAGAGATATCGTGTCAGCTTGCTCCCACGTGGCAACTTTTGCACTTTAAATTGACGATAACATTATCTTGTTGGCCCAATCACCTTTCAGGAATCAGTTTGGGAGGGATATTGCAGGCAGCAGCAATATCGTACTTGCATTGTATTTTTTCCCCTCCCCAAATCATTGTAGTATCCTTTACGGTTTACATACAATGTCAATTGGATTCCAAGGATGAATGATAGGTAGTCTATAGGCGCAGACGAAGTCAGCGTCCTCTCCTAAGTTAGCGACCTATAAGAGAATGAATAAACCATCACTCAATAAGTGGAAATCCATATAAAATTGGGAGGAAACGATTACGACTACGCAGGAGTTCGAACACAGGACCTCCCACTCTAATATCATGTTAAAGGATGAATAAATCACCATTCAACTTAAAAGCTTAAGCTAATGGGTTGGGTAAATTTAATTCATTTATTGGATATCTAATAATTTGTGAAGTATGTTAATTAGGATTATGCATTACAATTTGGTTTAACTTCTGTGTTGTGCCCATTTAACGTGGAAACTTGAACATCATCTAAATTTTCATGCTTCTTTTCTCTGGGGTTGCTCACTGCTGTGCTGTGGTTATAGAATTAGAGTTTTCAAGTTTTAGTAAAGGTATGGATTCAAAATCTCATCAAAATCTCTCCAAATTATTTCCATAAATAACAAAAAAAAATCTTTTTCTTTTTCTTTGAAAATGGTGACAGTCATGGTATAGCATATATGTAATCCATCACATTGTTTCTTTTCAAAAATCTCTCCAAATAACGGCCACCAAAAAAATATTTTTTGTATTTTTAATTTCATTTCCTTATTTTCTAATCAAACAATAACATCAATTATTCTCAATTTTAATTTTCTAAACAATTAAATATAAAATCTAACTCAATCATAGGTAAATCACAGAAACTATCCAATAGCGTTTATAATTTCCTCAAAATAAACTGTAATGCTCTTCGGCAATCAACTTTAATTTGCATTATTGAGTGAATTCAGACACTTAACCATATTGTATTTAAAATGATCGTTTCCTTAAATGTTGTGAAAAAGTAGCAATTTTATTTCCTTAAATGGACAAACGTGTGTAAATATATATTGTTTTAATATTTGCTATTTATTTAGTCTCATATGTCAATATACTAACATTAATACATTTATACCAATTATAAATGGAAACTAACAAACACACACAAAAACTAAGAGAAAAAAATTTAAGACATGAAATAAACAAAGTAATGAACCAATTGTATTGTATATACTAATGTTATTCTGAATTTGAAGAGTAAGTAGATGCAATAACAATGGTACGCAGGAAAGTAAGTAAAAAAATAGCGTCCATATGCAAAAAGAAAAAAAATGAAAGTAAAAGATGGACGTTATTTTGGATGGCAAGCAAACGCTTTCTTAGGATCTTGAGCATGGTTCGAGGGTTGAGGCGACGAGGAGGAGCGGTATCGAACAAATTGCATGGCTCAAAATCCGATAGGAAAGGAAAAACATCGGGACACCCATACATTGCCCCTCGCGTAGGGCTGTAAGTGCAACCTCCATGCACGAAATTACAGAACTTGGCCTCCGTAAACATCTGGACGTTCATCGCAACATCAGAGGAGTAGAACGCTATTGGCATCTCCATCGCCAAATCTAATCTTTTGGTCCATATTCTCTTTTCATATTTCTCCATCACCCATACCTCCGTCGCTTTCACCTTTGTCTCCTGCATCATCAGTGCAAGCTTTCCTTCGTACTGTGCAAGAGTTACTCGATGATGATGGCCACTACAATCTTGGAGGCTAAAGTGGTCTGGCGGCGCAATAAAGGACCAGGTTTCGACGTCAAAGTCAAAGGCGAGTATAGTTTGGTCGCCGAGGAGCCAATGGGCAGAGCCACAAGCAGAAACATTAGGAGAACCATATACAATGTAGCCTGAATAAGAGGGGAAGACCACGTCATGTAGTCGCCTCCATCGCCAGGTGTGGGAGTCGAACAGCTCACATACCAGATACGATTTGGTCATGGGTTGCTTGGAGGGGATATGGTTTTTGGAGAAGCGGACCACCTTGAAACGAAGAGGGTCCAAACTAACGATCCTAATGGCAATTCCTGTCGTAGAATAGCGGGTCTTGGGAAGAGGCATGCCCTTCCACTGCTTGGTAGTGGGCTTGCAAATGCAGTAGATTGGGGCGAAGTAGCGCCGGCCAGGGTGACGTGTTTTGCATATCGCCAAGCCGTTGGGAGCTACGGCTAGAATTTCAGGGTCGGTGCCGGGCAAGAAACTCAACGATAGATGAAAAGGAGAGCTAAATGGTGGTGGGCGTGGGGAAACGAAGGACAAATAGCGGTGGATCTTTTGGTAGGTTTGGAGCAAGAAGCCATCTAAGACGGGGCCACCCTGCCGCTCCGCATTCAAATTTCTGTAGTAAGCTTCCCAAGTGGCTTTTGCGTAGGGCTTGGAGAGGATCTTCGATTTTTCCACCTGTCCCAGGGGAAACCAGCTCAAAATTTCCATCACAATTTCTTCAGGAAGATCCGCCATCTTCATATTCATATTCATATTCAAATTCAAAAAGGATGGCTATATCTAATAACACTGGAAGGGAGCTCAATATTCCATGTGAGAAATTAGAAACGGTACAATGAATTTATAGGCGAAATATAGTTGCTTGGGAGAAAAGGGTTCCTAAAGAAACTTGGAAACAAAGTAATAAACTAAGTTTTGGTTGAGGTTTCATAAATTATCTCAATTCCATCTCCTGCGCGTCAAAGGAAACGATAATGTAAACCAACTAATTTTGAATCCTCAAAACTAATAAGATTAAGATTTTGATAAGAAAAGGGAAAGAATCCTACCCTAATTCTATCTAAATCATTTCCCATTTTATTACAATAAAGATATTTTGAATTACACATATTAATCCGTATTTTTTCTAAATTTCAATAGGAGTACAAATTAAATAGTATTTTAAAAATAATTGTAGATAGTTTTATAAGTCGACAATTTCAATTTAAAATAAACAATAATTATTATTAAAAAAACCTGACCATTTTTATCAGATTTTGAAATTCAAAGAATGGAAAAAAAAAATTTAAACATATCTATCTCTTTTAAAAAAATATTCTTTAAAATAAAAACTGAACATGTAAATAGTATTTATAAAGTTAATATTTTTAATTTAAGATGAACAAAATAAATAGGAAAAGGAAATAATCCTACTCATCTATATAAATTAAAATCACATCCTATTTTGTCTCACTCAAAATATTTTGAATGCAGATATTATTGGCAGTATCTCTATATCATAGTCAACTTGACAAATTTAAAAAGGAAAAGAAAAATATTCTGAAAACCCTAAACCATAAGTCAAATACTATTTTGAAACGAAAAGACTCGTAAATAGTTTTATAAGGCAGATATTTTTAATTTTAAAATAAATTAAAAATTTCAACTAAACAAAGTCAAGATAATCTTATTATCATGTCAAATTTCGAAATAAAAAAAAAAGGTGTTAAAAATCTCTCTTTTTTATTTTTTATTTTTTTTGACTACCTCTCTCTTTTTTAATTATCTTTAAAACTAATCAACCATGGTTAACAGTTTTCAAAGGCTAAAATTCTGAAGTTATTATTTTTAATTCTATAAAGTATTTATTTAAATCTTATATTTTCCATTAAAATTTTGTAGACTAAAAATAAAGAAAAAAATAAATCACTCTACTGAAATTTTTTGGATATCATGAGTAAAAATCATTCATCAAAATATCTCTTCAAGATTATATTTTTAATATAATACAGATTCTCAATATAGATTTTAAACGTTCATATTTATTTTCAAGAAATTTAAGTTAAAAATTTTAGAGGTTTTGTTGAGCGAAAGACATACGTCGTGAATTTGTAATGATTTGAGCTACTAAATAATTTTAAAAAATAAACTCACGGAACATTTAAAGCCCAAAGTTACCTCATTTCATTTACTTGAAAAAACAAATACTTAAATTTTTTATCTATAATTTTTATATAGCAGTAAATTAGTACGTGATATAAATTATTATTTATATTAATGTAGTTCAGTTAAGAACTTTATGAATTTTTTCGTGCAAATTTGATAAATGATGAATAATATATTTTTATTGTATTAAATAAAAATAATAATAGAACAACATTCTATAACATTTCATAATATAATACATACTTTTAAAATATAGTATAGCTTGGTATATTAAAAATAATAAATTGTTATACATTATGAAAAATGTGTTAACTTTTTATAAATTGAGCACAAAATCTATATCAAAAAAATAATTCTAAAATAATAAGATAGTGTAATAAAATATGTCAAATTTAATGTATTAAAATATATTACAATGAAATAAAATAAAATAAAATAAAAAGAAAGAGAAGATAAATTACCTTGCATAAAGTCAACAAATAATCATATTATTTATTGAATAAAAAAATATAAAAAAAACATCTACAAAATATAATGAAAGGAAATGATACCTATATTTTGTATTCACTAAAATACAATCACAACCAAATCTTATTTTGCAATTTCTACCAACAAAGATATTTAGTCGGCTAAATCATTGTATTATACGACACTACTAAATCTTAAATTTTAAGATAAAGCGAAGAAAGAAAATATAAGAAAACTAAACATATCTAGGAGTGAAGATGTATTTTTTTTTTAATTTCAAAATCTATAAAATTCTATTATTATTTATAATTAAATGTAAAATCATGAATTGTTAGAATTAAACTCTAGGAACATGTAGGCGAAACTTTTCATGTCATATTCATAATTATTCACATTCATAATTAAAGTTACTTTAAAAAAAGATGGCATGCTTGGTAAATTGTTCAAAATATAATCAAAGATAAAATTTCATGTTCTTATATTTTAAATCACACATTTTATGATTTAAATAAACTATTTTATTTTTACAGAATTATTAATATTAATTATTTGCAACATAAGTTGCATTTTTTTTTAATTTGAAAGTTGACCAATAGAGTAAAAATTATTCTTTTTTTTTTCTATTCTTAGTATGGTAAAGACATCATTTCGCTGTGAGTCGTAAAATGACACACCACGTGGCAAAAATTTAGAGGGTGAGAGTGATTCAAGTTGTAATACTTCGTGTAGAAATGTACATTTTTAATCAAGAATCCATTCTCTATGGTGTGAGGATGGAAGAAGGTTTATTTCGTCACTTAAACGAAAATGGGGAACATGCCTCGTCTCCGTCGCCACCTATATATGTGTACATGTATATGTATACGTGTGTATATATATATGTTATGTAAATGATGTTTTATAATTGGAAATTAAGCAATTAATTAGAAATTTCTTTTTAAAAGATATTTAATTGAGAAATAATTTTTAAAAATAAAAAATAAATGGGAAAAATTACCGGTAGGAAATCCAAAATTTGGTGAAATGTAGAATTAAATGGGGTAAGGACAGAGATTGAGAAGTCCCTAACCTATCCCAGTATCCCTAACTTTGTGACATAGGATTTAACCTATAAATCCCTCTAAATATCATACCACAAGAGGCCAGGGTCAAGGTAACACAATCGACCCTGTAACCTCAACTTATCACTAATATTGAATTCATGCCAAGATTCACGTGATGTGCTAAGTAGACAACAAGTAAGACTCGATCCCAGATGTCTATAAATACGATACAAATATGCAAAATTTGATCATTCGTTATGAGATTAAATAGTTCAAATTGGAACCGACTTGAGTTCTAGAGTGGTTACCTTTGTTTGCATGTTCTTTATAGGGTTCAATTATTTCCAAGTGATCAAAATTAATTTCAAAAAAACATTAAAGAAAATAATTAGTATATATAAAACAGAATTTAGAAGAAAAAGACAAACAAACGAAGAAAACACATCAAAAGGCAACAAAACGCTACTTTTATTTGTAGTTATTTGTATGTTCCGAGATTGGCCCCTTTTTTTCACAATTTGAGCCGATTTGCATTCTGGCCTCAATAATTTGGCCTAGGTCGGCAAGCAGCCAAGTTGACTAATAGGATAAATAAGTTGGGCCGATCTGCATTCCGGCCTCCTTAAGTTGATCCTAAGCGGACAAGCAAACAAGTGGACCTAAACAGGCTATTGGGCCCTTTTATATCATGCTTTCATAATTTTGGTAGGCCGACATAGTCAGGCCCAAATCTAATCCAGCCCAAAGTCTCAAATCCCTGACGTGGGCATTTGTAAATTAGACGAAAAGGTGAATTATTTATTATTATTTTTTTGATAAAATAAACAGAAGACAACAATTGAAACAGTTCATTGTGAATTAAATAGAAATACCTAAAAGAATATTATAAATTATGAAATGGTCGTCAACAATTACGTTTTAGTTGAAATTTGGATAATGAAAAATCGTCAACTAACAAATATTTATTATCATCAAATTGCCGTTAGCAATTATATTCTAAATCACTTATTCTTTATTATCATTTTTTGAAATTGAAATACCAATATTAGATTGTGAGGTAAATGAGCCAAATGATTCTCAAAACTAAAAAGTTCTCTGGATGTATTTGAAGACTTATTTGCAATCTAATATTTTCATTTAGATTTCAATTTGGGAAAATAGTTATTATAGATAAACAGAAATTGTTTAAAACTATTTATTTGTTGGTCTTGAAATGGGTATAAAAAATTACCCATCCAAACAATTATATCTTATCTGATATGAAAAACAACTTTTTTTTAAATGCGGGCTACAGGCAAGACAAAGGCGATTTCATATGGGCTGTTTCATGTTTTCTCCCAATTTCCAGATGAAAAAATCTTTCTCATTCCCTCCGAATCCTTCCATGTCGGTTGTTGAGAAACAGTCCTCCCTCAGTGTCCACTAATATTTGTCTGCCAAATCACCTCTTCTTCGCCATCATTGTCTTTTCTGCTGCCTTCTAATTCCATCTCTTTCTTTTCTTTCGCTTCACACCTCACTCACTCACAGCTGCTGCATTACAATTTACAGTTACAGCTGCAGGACACGCCATTGCTGCCATGCCAAACATGAGTTCAGCTTCAAGGTTTCTTAAACTTTGGACTGGAAAATCCATCGCCCAATTTCTCAGAGCTCTACTGCAACCTATTGGTTTTTATTGTGTGAATCCAGTCCTTCAAGACAGTGGGGTGAATCTCTCAAACTCTTCTTCTGTGGTTCTCTAAGTGTCAATACAGTTCTCATATTTTTCATATATGTTATTTGTACTTGTTGAATTGAGAGGAGGAAGCCCGCACATCTGAATCTTTTCCATTGATATTGACACATTAGGTATTAAAGTTTTACACCCACCATACTACAATACATAGGCAATGCCTCTTCAACCAAAATGTAAAACAGAGAGACAAAAAAGTTATTAAAAAATAAATTCTAACATCCACATATTGTGGTGACTACATGCAATGCAACTTGGATTCGCATGTATATGTATACCCCCAAACATCGTACGCTGCCAACAGCACCCCAAAGATCTCTATAAGCATGCCAATGAACATAAATTTTTAAAAAGTACCACTTCTTTCAGACTTTCGAAAAGTGTCCTCTTGCATTGTTTCTCTCACAAGTATTGCTCGTGTATCCTGGCTCGGTTTTCTTCCCACCACAATCTAGCATGCATCTCCCCAAATTTTTCCCGGCTGCACCATTCAAAGATGAAACAACAAAGTCAACAAAACGAGTCGTGGAGAGACTGACTACAAAAATGGACTTGATTAAAGCAAATCGTGCTGCATATGCCGTATAAGTCAAACATGACTATAACATGAACCAATGAACACTGGCTAGAAGCTTATGGGTAACCTGACCTATCCTCAGTCTAAACTAAAAATAAATAGACCAACAAGAGTATGAAAGTTTACTAGCTTGCGGGAACATAAGAGCAATAGCAACCTATAAGACTAGAACATTTGAAAATATTTTACAGACTACCCAAGTTCTAAGCGTCATCTAGGCAAAAGGTAAAAGAGTATTTGATGACTACATTGGCCAGAAATTGACTTGGCTTTGCCAAAAGGCCTCACCTCTAGAAGCCACATTTCACCTCTACAGATAGGTAGAAAATGGTCTTATTCACTATGACATATTAATTGGCTTGTGGGATAATATTGATTTTGGATCTCAACCCAACACAAATATCATGGGTGCCAATCTCAACTATTCTTATGATAGAGATTCTAGAAGATACAAGCTAAAATTATCTAACCACTACCACAATGTCAACCAACCTCACCAACTTTCATGCTAGTCTACCTTGTAAAGATATGAACTTGGCCTAATAACTGGAGTAATGAGGTTCTCACTTGCAGCAACTCCAAGCTGGAAAAACTATTGAAAGCTATGTACACATAACAAATTCAAAACAAGATGATGCAGAATCTTAGTACCTGAATCTAACTCTTCTGAGTTCCCTTTTGCCGCCTGGCAATGCTCTGATTGTAATATAAACCCCTGGTTCGTCCTGTTCAACCCATTCAGACTCAAGATCACTAGCATTGCTGATGGATAGTTCTCCTGAACGATCTGCATCCCTTGATGAACTGCTTCTCATGGATGCATCGATGGAAGATGTCTCTGTCTTTACACCACTGATGCTAGAGAGTTTTGGAGTGGAGGTTAGACCTGAATCTTGGTACTGGCGATACTGCATTGGCTGATACTCCAGTGAATCTGAGGATGAATAGCTCATCCCCGTTCCAGCGGGACGGTAGAGATTGCGAGGCAAGCGTTCTGTGGTTAATGGAGGTGTTACGGGGCTGTTTTCAACAGATTCAATTTTTGAGCTCTGTTGTTTTGGGGGAAAGGGGGGCCTCATCAATAGGATACAACAAGACAGAAAATATACACAAACCAAATGATCCATAATAAAATAAAATTACATTAAAAGAAAAGGGAATCAGACACGATAGGTTACAATCTGAAAATTTAACATGCGCAACTTCATCCTTTTTCCATGATTTCAATATGCTATCATTCTACCTAGTGTGTGTGAGAGCCAATAAGATACAAGCTTACCTCATCCTCAGATCTCGGTGGGGTTGGAAGAGGAAAAGCTTGCCGGTTGAACCTCTGAACATTGTATAGCTCCATAACTCTATCATAGTTCTCGGCCCACCACCTCTGAGCTTGCCATTTATTGAAGACATCTCGACTAATCAAGACAATTATAAAAACAATAATCAAACCCTAGATACCAACCAAAGAGGCAAAGAATCAACCATTACTTGAAAAAACAAGTCTCCCTATTGTTTCACTGCTTGCAGATCTTTTGAGATACTGAGAAGCAACTAAAATACACAAATTTGGAGGAAATCGCTATATATCACGGCCATAGAGATCAGATACCATTAAAAAAAAGGTCTCTCCTTTTTTGTTTTCTTACACAGTTAAAAAGGTGTGGACAAAAAGAGAGAATTTTTCACAACACAAAGCAGTCAAGAGACCTAGCAAAGATTATTGTTCGCGTCACATACAATAACTTTTTATCCAAGTGCTGCAAATCATGAAAATTGTCAATAGGAAGCCAATTTCCTCCTGTCAAAAGTTAAATAATAAATTAAAAAAAGAACAAAGCAAAGTGAACTTTAATGCTTTGAATAAAGTAGTTTTCGAGGTGTCAATGTTGACTCTGTACCCAAAGCCTATTAACACTAGATCCAAACCTGTCGAACTTCATTATGTTAAAGACCAAGATAATATGATAGGATTGTCTAGTTGGTGTCACGTAGTTTAAAGTCAATCCAGAGGGTTCAAATGGTTACGGATGAGGCCAACAGTTTATTCAAAGGCAGTCGAATCAATTATTGCGGGTTGAAGAACGAGTCAGGTCCCATGTAGCAGAGGGCAATAGTATACAATTAGTCACTAGGTTGTGTCCCCCTTGAAAAAGAGAGATCAAATTGGTCGAGATGAAGAATAACCTCGTCCCCTCCTCGTTTATTGCCCAGATGTGATTCGTAAGAGGTTCAATTTTGTCTGGCATGTGGGAAGTAAGTAGAGGCCTTGTGGCAAAACTCTATTAGCAGAAGACAAATCCTCGAGAATCAGGGTAGGCGTGAAGAATTTTTGAAAAGAAAGGGAAGAGACTTCCCCGACACGACGACAATACTGGGAATAAAGCTTCCCCACCACAATCAAATTTGCCCCCACCCACCACTCCCACGTCACAATTGAGTTCTACTTTTGGACTTTTTCTTGATTGCTTTTTATGAGAAGGCGTGATCTTTACTGTGAAAAATCAGACCCCACCTATGAAAACAGTTCCAACGGAGATTACTCCAAGGCTATGTTTGAACGTCGCTTTTGAAGATTTTTTTGTTCTCTCTCTTTTAAATATTTTCCCTGTATTTTCTTCCTCACCTTTTGCAACCAAAGATACTGAAGTATATATTCAAGCTCTGGTGACGGACACAAGCAAGGAAATTCCAGAAAGAATAATAAACCAAATAAAGAACTGAAAATGAAGCTCCCAGCCCCATCTTTCTAAAACCTGAAAGGGAAGGAAATGAAATTAAAATCCAAACACGCCCCTAAGTCCCAGTAAATGACCCACTTCTGTCGCTAATTAAAAAGTCGAAAAAGAAGGTGGCGACCGCGAGTTGATTAAAAGGGCCACCGCAACCGCACATCCTCAATCACATTCACATACGCTATATGATTAAAGTCAAACAAACGGCAAAGTAACTTATTAAAACAAAACAAAAAAAATCTGTACCGTTGATATCAATCTGCATAGAGCGTACCTGAAACGTATCCGTTTCAGATCATTCCCTCCACGAGGAAGTGAAACGAATGTAATCAACACACCCGGTTCGACCTGGGCTACCCACTCCTTGGGTTCGTTCTCCTCAACGTACACAACTGGGTCAACTCGGCGCCCACTCAGCGAATTGGGCGTTCCTTCTCCGCTAGAAATTCCCTTGAGCCTCGCTTCCATCTCCTTCCCCCAGGTCCTCGTTTTCATGGAGCTCAAGCTGCCGCTCCGCTTGTACGCCCACCTGAACCTTTCCGAGTCGCCGTCCGACTGTGAGCTGCAGTTCTTGAGTCGACTCTGCGTTATCGGCCCTGCGCAAGGGTTGCAAGTTCGGTACGATCCCGACGCTTTTAACGCCATGTCCCTGAGCTAAAAAGGACGGACAAGCAGAGCAGAGAATTAAAATTGAATGCCCACATTCCAGTCCCGATAACAGTTCACGACATGAAACGGATGACTAAGAGAGTAGGATTTTGATCTCAAAGTACCTGACCTGTCAGAGATTTGACAGATTGTTGCTTACTTCCGGGTCCGCTGACGCTGACGGAGTCCGATTCTTCAATTTGACTCAACGAGCCATCTCCAAGTTTCTTAGAACGAGCTATGCATGTCAGCATTTTCACCTCTTACAGCACTTCTCCAGCAACCTAGTTCCAAGCAGCGAAATAAATGCTCAATCGCTGCCACTCACTTCCGGGCGCTGATAAGCCAAATTTTACTTGAAATAAGTTTCGAAGAAAGAAAAAGAAAATGGAAGTTGAGCAAGAACAAAAGGAATACGGAGAGTAACACAGAGCAGATTCTGACTCTTGGATCTTGAGTTTCTTCTCGAAAATTAGGGATCAGTTGTTCTGATTCAGTTATGGCACGACGAAAGTAAGACACCGACGCTGTCCGCGCTCAGAATGATTCAATCCAATCATAGACTAAGGTGCAGTGGTTCCCTGTAAAAACCAAAAAAGAAGAAAGCAGAGTATGAAAACAAAAATCTGGCCATATTTTACACTGGAACGAGAATGGAGGAAGAATTTGTTGAATAGAGAAAAGGACGGCGGAAGGAACCGTGGCGTCGGAGAGCAAATGGCGGATACTCCGGGTGGAAGTGAGAGGGAGCGCAAATGAGTGTCAAACAAATTGTTGGTTGCCGGGCAATCGCAATTATGGCATGTCTTCAATTTTCATTTCACCAACTGTGCGATTTCCTTTTGTCCATACCTGCTACCGGCTTTATACCGGTTGCTGTTGCGCACTCTGTTCCGTCTTCCTTCCCGGTCTTTGTATTTCAAGTTTCGCCAAACCTGGGCTTCAGGCCCATTTCCTCACATTTGGGCCCTTTTCTATTGAATCGAGATCCATTTAGCCTTTTTTTTTCCCCAAAAAAGAATTAAACATAAAATGTGGCTGCTGGGATTCGAGCCCAGGTCTCCACGGCCACAACGTGGAATTCTCACCACTAAACTACAGCCACAACATATTAAGATAGCTTCGATTTTACGATTTACATAGTTTAGATTGCAAAAAGAAATTGGTGAACTAACTTAAACCGATGAACTTTTTCAGGAAACCTTTTAATTTATATATCGAGTCTTTCAGCTGATATTTTGTTTTATTTATCCTTCAACTTTAAAAAGAAGGAGGTGTTTTTAATTCTCTTATTTTCATGATTATTCAGCAACTAATTGTTTTCCTAATATTTTTTTTTTGAAACAGTTTTCCTAATTTCTTAAATCTTTAGTATTTTACTATTACAATTTGGCGTTTAAATTTTTAAGATTTCTTTACATTACTTTTTGTAGAGTGAGTTGTCCCTCACATACTAGATTCTCAACGATTGAGAATAATATATAATATTTTTAATTAAAAAATCAAATGGGATAAAATTGTTTAAGGTACAATATTGTTTTTAAATTGGCTTGGGGAGAAGCACTTTAGAGTTTACGGGATGAATTTATGCTTATGCCCAATAATTGCTGCCTACGAAATTTTAAAGCTATTGACATTCTTCTTTCCTTAAGTGGCGTTTTACCTTAAAGGGCAGAAAGACGATGGAGTTGCCGATGTCCAAATCCGTCATTTGACATTTATTGGTGGAGGAAGGGAAGAAAATGCTGCCCACTAATGATTAATAAATACCATAGCTATGAACAGTTGGAGCTCCACAGAACCAATCGTGCTTTGTGGAGAAACAACAAATCCGTGTTACATGGGCCGCATTTTTTGTACCTTTGTTTATTTGTTATTGTACTCTAAAAAAAATAAGGAAAAGAAAAAATATATATTATTAGAACATAATCCTCGAGACTTTATTTTGGTTTCATATAAATTAAAATAATTATTTCATTTCTTAGTTAACTTTGTTGGCATACCTTGAACTCCAACAAATATATGACCAATTAAAAAATTAAAAAATTATCTAAACCCTCAAGTGAAGTTAATTTTAATGTATGAAAATGAATTTTAATTTAGATCCTTATTTGTGGTTTGAGTATGACAATTTTTTTTAATATAATAATTTTGGGAGTTGGAAAATCAAACATCCAACCGTGAATAAATTAGTACGTGTTAATTACCGTTGAGCTATGTTCATCTTAGCTTAAATATGATAGTTTGAATAAAATGTAATAACTTGGATATATATATGTACGAAAAGAAAACAATATATACACACACATGAGAAAATAATACATTTATTACTTTAGAGGTATGCAATAAGACTTCTTGTCAATCCACTGTATGCAGTATGCAATTTTTTTCCTCTATAATTTTATTGTAGTAAGCGTTTAATTTGTTTTCCTAACGAAGCTCCATTGTAAATGTTTGTGAGATGTTTTTCACACTTCAAAGATAAATGTACACAAAGGTTAACAAGTATTTAACCATTGCATTCTTTAAATGTGTACGAAAACTATGGTAAATATTTAAATAATATTCATTGTGTTTGGGGAAGGGAATACCCTGGACACGTGGAGGACCCCCATTGGTGCTCCAAGATGGCTCATGAGTCATCCCAGCTCGGATAGCCGAGACGGCTGCCACCAACACCGAAGAAAGCTAAGTATGAGGGCCAAGGTGAACCTGGTCCAGGTCCGACCTACCGGGGAGCTCGGTAGGGGCCGATGTGAGCAACTGTCTGCAGCGTGATTATCGGGCGTAACCGTCAGTCCCAAGATCACCGGGTGTAACCGATGGTCCCGAGATTACCGGGTGTAACCGTCGCGAGATTAGCGGGACTACCACCCATAAGTAGAGGATCTCAACCCACGATCAGGTACGATGATTTCTGGCTTCGAACTAGACTTGGAATCCGACCTATACTGACTTGATCGTCGGAGTGCTCACCTTTTTGTGCAGGTCCGCCCAAGTGGTCAGGTCGGTCCGGAGGCCGGGTTCGAGCTACAACCAAGAACACATTGTTGTGCAAATCTTTGCACAAACATTTGGCACCGTCTGTGGGAAGACTGACAATCTAAGTCATCTCAATTCCTTTAAACCAACACGCGAGCGAACATGGTTCAACCAGCGAATTCGACCAATACGACGGATCGAAGGACTCTAGCTGCCAGCGATGCTCACCAGAGGGAGGTCGGAGCAGCGGCGGTAGAGGGGCAAGGTCACGACAGCCTAGCAGCGGAACCCCTCCGCAGGTCGGCACGAATCACCGCGCCTG